TAACTTCCGCGTTGCAGTAAAATTCGATATTTTTTAAATGTAGAAACTATGAATAGTTTGGGTTATTCGGTCAAATGTTAATTATCAGCAAATAAAAATAAATTTAGTATTTATCAGAACTGTTTAATAAACTTGAAGATAAGCAAAGATGGATATTGGCTAGCAGTGGAATTTAAGACACGCGTTTCGTCCTATTTGCGACTGGTCAGCTAGATGTACCTGCATCTAAGAGTTGATGTTCACTCTGGGACTCGAACCCAATACCATACGCCAATAAAAGATTGATCAATTACAGTCTTAAACATCAATGGAAAAACTCAAGTAAACAATACCAAGTGAATTTAAACTTGAAGATAGTTTTTTTTAAAAAAGAAGTATTTATTTCACTAGACTAATTATGTTATAAAACTACTTAGTAAATATTTAGATATTCAAATAGATAAAAATGACATGTAAACCTGTTACGTTAAACTAGAGGGAATTCATGTAATGATTTCTTTTTGTAAATACTATAATGAATGTTTGGATAATGTTCCCGAAAGAATGAATAAATGAAATTGACAGTAACTATATATATTTGTCTCTTTGACAACAGTTAACACACACACACACTTATAAATCACAACTTTTTATCTGCTGTATCAATGTTCATTATTAAGCTACAAAATTCATCTAGGAGCTGACAGTCTGTGTTTTCCACAACAGAGTCATTTTCAAACTGTATATTTATGTGTAAACTGTAAATTAATGGTGGATAAAATAAAGATTCACTAGTAAAAGGCACGTTTTTCCATCCTTTCGTAGGCTGTAGACAAGCTTATATTTAGTGTAAACACTCTGTTGTTTTACGAATAGTAAAGTAGTGTTTGATCTATAAGTGTGAAACACATTGAAAAAGTCTTCAAATCAACAATCTATAATATCTCAAAATTATTGGTTGTAATAAACTCCACTTCATTTATTTTAGAAGATTCAGATAACCACATATTGTGAGTAAATGTCTGCTTTTCTGTTAATATGATACAAATAAAGTAACCTCTTATGAGCATAACATATCTTTAAAAATCTCATTAATCCTTACTGCAACATTGAGAAGACTTTAAAAAACTAATTTGATTGAAACTAAGATCTTGGAAATTAATGTGAAATCCTAATTTAAGTGGTTTGATAAATTATTTAACCCCAATGATATCATATGAGATAACTATTTCTCTTAAAGTATGGAAAGATATAATCATACTTATCGGTATAAGTATGGGACAAACGACATATTCCTATAAATTTACTTATTATCTGTACACATGAATAAATTCTAATTATTGTATAACTGGGCACTCGAACTTTAATTAACAAACTCTATGTTTCAGTGGTATTCCATTATAAATAAATTTTTTATTGTTGCTACACTTTACAAAACGTGTGAACGAATGTGATGTGCGGTTATTACATACACATCAGTGCTGTAGGGTATATATATATATATGCAAATTTTGTTTTATTGTATAGGATCACTGGCACTGAACTGCATTAAAACCGTTGACAATATAACAAGCCACATTTTGACCTTATACAGCTAAACAAATCGCCATGTGTTGCCGGAAATTATATATATTAACTACTTAACATTATGCATTTTCAGATTAAAAATCATGTTTATAGTTAAGGTGAAAATTTTCATTCAGTCACATGATAAATAAATAATGTATTAGTTACTATGTATTGAAAATATTTTTTAAAATTTGATAATAAAGAAGGTCAATTTAATTATTTTATGTATGATGAAATTCATTTATAACCGATATAAAATCGACTAACTTTCTATCAGTCAGCTTAGAAAATATTCTGGAATTCGTGAAGAATTTCACTCGCATAAGAATGTCTTTAAATTTCATTTTGGTAGAAATCATAAGTTGGATAAAAAACATCCATGCTCGGGTATTAGAGAAGCTCGATAACATGAACAGTGATAAGCAAATATTTAAATATATTTAGAGACTAACTGAAATGCGGTGGCTTGCGAATGACTTAAGTATTCCATTTCATCAATAAACTTTCAGTTGAGATAAGAAGATATTTGTCATTAGTCATGTGTTTCAGTATTGATCATTTGGATTCCGGTTAGTATTACTCTTTTAAAATTTCCCATTCACAGTAACAAATGTAGTTGTTGAGCCATATAAAAGTCAGCTTACTACTAACAAGACCAATTAACATATGAATGGATTGGTAACCCTATAGAAAAGAATTTTTGGGCTGGTAATTTAAATAATGAGTTAAATAACGAATTACCAGCTGAATAGCTATTTTATTATCTAAAACATAATTCGTAATAATTTAATTTTGTTGAAAATAGTATCATTTTTATCAACGCTTTCTCATGATGATATCTGAAACGCTCGATTGCCTGCTGAGACAGTTGAGCTACCTATTTTCCAGCTGTAAAAATATATAAATTAACCTATATTTATTGTAACATTGTACAATTAATACTGACAGTTCCTTACTGTAACAAAAATTATAGTATTAAATCAAGCTATTATTAATATTAGTGATAGTTCCGTTCTAATCAAATAATGAACTCAGGTAATTGACTTTCTATGTCTCTAAGTCTCCTATTTGAATCAATGAGTCAAATCGTGAATAGATGATTTATCAAAGAAGCAAAAGAACAATCAACTAAATTAACAAAGATCAGTTATAAAATCATTGAATCTATTCAACAGAACGCGACAAAACATTATATTCAAAAGAAACCGAAAAATAAAGGGAAGACCTGACAGCTTGTTGTGTAGAAAATGAAATTTAATGTCAAAAACAATAAATAACAGCGGTAAATAATAAAAATAACTGTTAAAATTGTAAATTATTTCTGCTATTTCCCTCCTAAAACAGTTGATAATACGTAACCAAAACATTTACCAACATTAGTACCTTTCCTCATCGATATCGGGTAGACCTTCTTTACAACTAGTGTGACATCCAGTTATTTTATTCGTTTCTCCTCGAATTCTAACTGTGTAGGTATTGCGTATTGATAAAGCATTTTTTCAGACCTATAGAGAGTTTTGTAGGTAATTGTTACACAGAGAGTACTTTTACATAATCCATTCCTATTCTCTCTAAATAACACAAATATGAGTTAGGGAGCCATTACCTTCATCCATAAATAACTTAAAGAGAGGTTAGGTAGTATCAGATAAGGACGAATTATTGTTAGTCTGTTAGATCAGTGACTCATAAATTATGGAATTTGTAAATAATCCGATTTCGAGTTACTTTTAAATCTTAATGTTCATTCATCTCAAATGGAACTAACTTACATAAAATAACCTTAAATAATAATAACCTATTTTTCACGATCTTAGCCACCAAAATCATACTTTAAATCTGAAAATAAGTGTAAAGTGAGAGATAAGTTTTTGAACAATACTTAAATCCAACTATACAGTTGTCAACACCGTAGCTAAAACGTATAGTAATAGAGATAGTTGTTGTTGAGAATGTACCTCATATAATTTTTGAAATGGTCATTACAATTGTTCATCGCAATAGTTGATTTTGTATTACTAGTAACAGTAGTAGTTGATACTATTCAGCTGAATCATTCAATATGTAATCAATCAATAATCTATTTCATTAACTTAAGATAGATCGAAAACATTTCATAGAATATGACGGTATATGTTAATGTTAATAAAGTTTATTGATTATCTATGTTAAATAAGTAATAATCTAAACATATAAAGATTTGGATTAAATAAATGTGAAACAACAACCTACTGGATTTTATTACCAGACGGTTATTTAATAAAAAAAAATCTCCTTTTTTCAACTATGGACTGTACTATCAAATATGTTAAACATAGTAAATCTGTTTTTTTTATTTATTTATAAATATTTGATAAGATGACGAAAATGTATTCGCATTACTTAAAACTTTCACTTAAAATTAAGACAAGTAGTCAAATGACACAATTTGAAAATCCTAATTTTATTCCAAAATTGTAGTCATGCACACAAACACTATTTTACTTATATGAATAAAACTAACTTAATTTTTAAGATATTTTCAATTGAATTATATTCGTAAACAAAACGTTAAGAATCGTATATTATTAATATGAATAGTAAAAGTATAGGTAGTAGTATTAGTATTATTAGTAGTAATGATAGTACTAATAAAAATAGCGGTAGCAATAGTATTGGTTACAATATCAATATACTATTAAATATATATTTGTTTTACTGTAAATACATTTTAGCTACATCTACCAATAATCCATTATATACTTAATTAGCGAAAGTTTTCAGTAGTTTTATAACATGTATTACGTGTTATAGAAATATATTAAATCTAATAACAATAATGAAACTGATAATAAGGACACTAAATAGGTTCAAATTATAAAATGAATACATAAACTATTGAATAAGAATCTTTCTCCTTGTCATCATAATCTTTTTTTATTGTTACCTTCTATTGTTGTTGAGAAAATATTAAAGAAAGTAAAAAGACATAGAATAGGAAGAAAACTTAAAGAATGTTTCAGTCAGAAAATAATTAAAACGTAAGGCACCTGAAACTTAATTTTTGAAGAATTAATTAACCATAAGAAAAGTCAATTAAAGGTCTCAACTAGAAGTAACAGTATTAATGGTTGTAATGGTAACAATTGTAATAGTATAAATTAAACAATGTTTGATAATACAGTATAGTATAATTAATATGAATAATGAGCACTATGAATGACTGTCTTAATTGTAAATGGGAAGAGTAAGAAAAAAAACCAAAAGACAGTACATTTTTTCAGAAGTAAGAAGTAAACTGAAGAATATCCTAAAGAGGCTAAATTAGATGTATTTGTGTTTTCGTAAGATAAAAAAATATTAAGGAACACATAAATTGAACACACATAAACGATATAATTATTTTCTTTTCTTTAATAGTAAAAACAGATTTTTTTAAAAATGTTATGTTTTGCAAAAGATTAAAGAATAATTTATTTTCCTGAATCTTTGTCATCAACACAAACTTCAAAACCTGTTCCACCGATAGAATTTTTTAAACCAACCAAACGACATTCAACTAGGACAACAGTATTTCTTGTTATATTAGAGAGTTGTACAGCAACTAATGGTGCTTGATAATTATTCATTCTTAAATAGGGAAAATAATTGTTTGATATGACACCACTATAACAGAAGAAATTAAGAAAAAAAAGAAATAATTGTGAAACTTTAATAACAAAGTTTATTTTCGAGAACAATTACAAACTAATTAATAGATAGAAATCAATTCATTAACCAATTGGAAACAATCGCTTATCAGTTGCTGATGATAATCATTTAAAATAGTTCACATTTCAGATTGGAATAGAATTAAGAATAAATCGATCATAATTTTAGTTAAATGAAACAAATTGGTTTCGAAATGATACATATCAAAGGAGAGTTATTTTTCATCTTACAGATATAAAGGGAAAAAACTAATTAATCACTAATATGTTGAATAATAGTAAGCAATTGAAATGAAGTATGCCCAAATATCACTTTTTTTAAAAACTAAGATCAAACAATTTGGTTATATCACTGTTTGATAATCTTAAGAAAGTCAACTATATATCCTGTCAAACACAGATTCTCATGAATTTGAAATAAACAAGTGATCATAAAAACTATTGGCAAACAGTAAAGCATAAATCTAAGAATATTTAGTTGTATCCATGACTTTGTATTTAAGAAGAGGTAATATCGCATAGTTAATGAATCGTGAGTGAATTCAAACTACAGCATTCATCCATCTCTATGTTTATTTTGGGTGATATATACTTGTTTAACAAGTTATTTATTTGGTAATTTTGGCATGTTTTAAACAAACGTTTTAATAAGTAGTATGGAGCTTGGTAAGATTGTTGAATTATACTAAGATCATGAATTAATCTGTGCTAGACAACTTAAAAAACAGAGAGCATTAAACAGCTGTTTCATTCTAGCATAAGACTCATCAGAAGTATTCATCTCTGACACCATTAGAAATCAAACCCAAAACCCTCGATTCTTCACACCACTGAGTTGGCACCCAGTGGTCCATATTTCCGACATAATTCCATATTATCGACATGCAAGTATAATTCACACTAATTATTTTTCTTCGATTAGATTAGTAACATCAGTCAAAACATACATACTAATCTGCACTAAAATGTTCTCCTTATATTGTCTCATTAATTATAGAAACACGTTGATAATTTCGCTTATGATTTGAAAGATTGAATTTTAAAAGCAATTGTATACGATTTAAATGTATAATACGTAAACACTTACTACTTCTTCCCATTTGGTGCTATGTGTTCTGGAAAGTATCTTACAATACCAAGGGATTCTTTATCGAATTCATTCTAAAACAGCAACATTGGCAAATCAATAAAAACTTCATAAAATGGGACTAAACTGAAAAATATTATCCTTTTTAAAAAAATTTTTATTAGTGTCGCTAAACCGTAGGGTGGTTTTTTTATTTTTTTGAGACTTTTATGTCCTTCATTAGTCAGTAAGCTGACTGTTGGGTGAAATTACTGACATGTGATTAAGAAAAAGTAATAATACTTAGTACGTACATCTTATTTATACGATTGATTGGTTTTTTTCAAAACTCTACGATTAGCTTTCAACCATAAGATTAATTTATTTCCTATGAATCAAGTCGTTTATGTCGATTCAGACTGATTATTCTCTAGGTTACCCACAACTAAGCAAAACATTTCATGGACTGTTCCGGATACTCAATGGATTGTCTATGTACACACTCAGCAATATATATCAACGAGGCACTATTACAGAGTAACAATCAAACTCTACAACTGTGAACACAAACGTTTATTTGAGTAATCATATACCCCAAGGGTGCCTTCATCTGGTTCATCACTGATAACTTGATTTCCCTGTAAAGGTAACTTTGAATAGATGAAGGAGAAACTAGTTCACAATGGTTTACTCTGCAAATACGTCGCTGCACTGAAATGATGTTATGTCTTCTCTATGATGATGAAACAGACTATTTCTTGCCTAGATTATTGAATTAAACTACATACTAATCTTGTAAGAATAATAATATTCGTATAGAATGTTTTATTCTTTCTCACTACAAACTATGAAAGATGTGAGCAGTATTGGTTTTTTAAGTAGATTCGTAGGTAAATATTTTCAATAATTTTTCACTTAGAATGATGACAAACTCTATACGTAGGAAAATGATTTCTTCTGTATTCAGTACAATGGGTTTTGTGACTTTAAAGTATGAAAACCAGTGAAATTTTTTTATTCTGGACGGAAGTTTTATTATTTTTGTTTTCAACATTATGTCAAATTAAATTTTAAAAAATTCACTTATACATCGGTTTTCCAATTATTTGCCAGTTTTATTAACGTCTCTCTAAATATCGTTGCTTTTATTGCATATAGTTCTGTGATTCTGAAATATCTTCAGCTTGACTAATATCTGTCAGTTAGTAAGTCACGACAATGATGTCTTGTTTGGACATCAGACGTTTTACACTGAACAACATTAGTATGCACTGTGAACAATAGTATCAGAAACTATCCTCTTCACTGCATCATTTATATATTCTATCATTTACAACATAACACTATGTATGCTGTCAAAACGATTATTTAACATCATTTAAGCATACTTTAATTGACTTTAAACTGTTTCATTTATGTGCTGTGTTCCATTTGTATGGACAGATATAAGTAGTATGTAAAAGAAATTAAAGGTAGGATTCTTACGGACAGAAGAAGAAAATAAAGAGAAAAGAGAAGAGATCTGAAAACCATCGAAACAATAACAGAAATGAAAGAACAATGGGTTTCATATAGGAAAACTCAAGGAAGATGTGCAAATAATGTAATTCTTGTATTGTTTTCTTATTTTGAGTTTGATTTGTTCTTACTAAGTTCTCGTTCATTACACTTGCTCAAAGACTTAAAATTTTTGCTTAAATCGAATTAACCATTTAGTCAATTGAATTTTCTCCTAGTGATTAATAAGAACACGTCCATTTAGCGAGCTTGTCTTTTTTGACTGGGTGTTGTAAAGATTGTAAAGTTTTAAATTCCATATCACAAACTGACTACAGTTAAACCACCATCGGAAACCAGGAGGAAATGAACATCTAATTTCTCTTATAATAAGACTCTACAACAGTATACAATCATAAGTTTCACAAGGGATCGAATTAAGGACCTTCAGACTTAGCATCAAGCAATCATGTATTTTTCCCAGTGAATAACGTCAAGAAATAATTCCCGGATTTCTGGTGAGGAGTCATGGCCAGTGGGATTTCGTCATAATCAAACTGAAACAAGTTTCACCAATAAGAGCGGATGATGATTATGTAACGTCCCTAATCAACTGAATTCAGAAATGTAAACCATAATATGGGAACTCTGTGGTCTGAAGGTAAAGCGCTCACCGTAATGCTTAAAGGTTTTGTGGATCATCCTTGATGGGGTCGTCAATATCTAGTTCAGAAACATCATATTGTGGGATGAAATAACTGTGTTCATATTTCCTGGTTTTCAATGATTTTCTAATCAAATTCAATCTGTTATGTGAAATTTTAAGTAAATACTTTTCTTGAGAAGTTATCTATGTGATAAAAGAAATCAGCTCTAAAACTTTTATAATCTTTGAAATTTTAAGTTTCATAAACATATAATTAGTAATAGATTACAATTGTCTTCTGGGAATAAATTTCTTTTTGGGCATAACGTAAAAATCACAAGCTATAAATATTAAAACGACAGGTAATCCTGATGGGATCTCAGTTAGTGAACAACATTACAGGGATGAATTGGGCTTGTTATACAGCACAAATCATCTGCAGGTAACATCACAACACTGTAAGAGCATAAAAATATCATACTTTAACTTAAAATCAAATGAGATCATGAACAAAATCCCGTAATTATTTTCAAATAATAAAGAAGCCTTATTTCATAAGGATACACTAATCAAAGCAACCAGGTTAAAAATTCCAATCTGTTCGAAGTACTGAGGCATAATATATTTAGTCTGTTTTATTCTATTTGCCAGATCGATTCGAAGTGAGCCAAATTATTCACATTAACAAATCCAAGTACTCCTTCGTGCAACCATCATTCATGCTGATACTGAACACATGATTGGTATCAATACCAGGTGTCTAGTGATAAGTCTTTTTACGTTTCACTCTCAGGCTCTGATATAATGAAAGTGAAATTCTTGAAAATGGTCACGGATTATTGGGTACCCTGCCTAATGTCAGTAGACTTGTTGCATTCTAAAGATCCATAATTTGTTCTTTTTAATAACTCATAGGATAAGTTCATAAATGAGCTGCCTTCATCTATTACCATTATTATTATTATTATTATTATTATTATTATTATTATTATTATTATTATTAAGAATAGATAATGAATTTTGAATAAGGTGGATCACAAACTGTAAAAAATTGTTCACTTCTTTATATTCATCATATATTTAATAATCTTTACGGTCAGTTATTCATAGACTTATTAAGCATGTTAACTGTAACCTGATTTAAGCTAATTTAAGCATCAGATATTTTTGGAGGATGATATTTTATAAGTAGCAGTATTAGAATGTCCATTGTAATGAAGAGTACTTAATACAATTATTGCTATATATATATATATATATATATATATATATATATATATATATATATATATATATATATATATAACCATCAGTACCCAGAACTTTGCTTGGAAGTTATAGTAATCTATTAATAATATAAATATGACCATAAGAATTCCGTATAAAATATTCCTATCCCAACAACTTGACATGTAGTATGGTTATATTATTACTAGAACATTTTAATATTCCCCTAGTTGATATGATATATTAAGGAAGGGTGTAAAAAAAGTTAGTATCACTTACTGTACCTCCACATTCGATAGCAGGTGATGGAATCGATTTAGGATCTTCCAAATCAGGTAACCAACCGTAGATCTAAAGTATAAACAGAGTTATACAAAGACATATTTGCTTAGTAGAGTGTAACTGAAAAACACGTTAAATTGGTTTACCTAATATACAGAGAGATTGTTGATTATGATTTAAAGGTGCTTGATTAAAGATTAGTTCCTCAACCTTAATGAATCTTTTGTAATGAAGAAAATGAAAGTAGAATATATCGGTTATTCATATAAAGGTAAAGTGAACTAGGTATATCTGACTAATCAAAACAACTCATACTTTCCTTTTTTTGACTAGAAACAGCTTAAAATTTATGAATACCAACGACAGATAAATCACACATCATGCCATTTATGGGTAAGAATGTGTAACTATAATATGAAATTCCATACATACATCTGATATATTTGTGAAAGACGTGAAGGACATCTAAACATACTCGATTTATTTTCAAATAAAGACATAGTTTTCCCTCCAATATAGTTTTCTCAGTTGACTGACATTCACCCAAAACACTGAGATCAAAGCTGCAGGGGACATCTGGATTCTGTGGATGCAAACCAGGTCCGCTGCACTCTTCATTTACACCTTTCGAGCCATATTTACTAAACAGTTCATTCACTTTATTAATATACGGTTGGTTGATTGTAGATTGGAAAGTTGCAACATGGATAAACGTATTAAAAGAGTTTGGTCTTGCGGCAAGTTCTATTCCTAGACAAAAGAAAAACGATGCCAAGAAATGAAATGAAATTTGAACTAGTTATCCTTTAGTTATTACGTGAAATTATTGATATATTCAGACACAATGTTAGATTGAGCTTCCTTCACATAATTCGGCTAACTAACTTCAAATAGGTTGAAGTTTGATTTTTTTTATATTTTAAATAGTGTGCTAGGAGATCTGGCCATTCTTGATAGCTATATGGGTTTCATTTGGAAATGCTAACAGTTTAATACGTAAACGTAGGATGTAAAAAACTAATGTCTAAGCTATAAAAATCTATCGTCATAAACATGAACATCGAAACTGAAAAAAATAGACTAGAGGATATATGGTTTTCTTTTCAGTTCAATAATAACGTGAGTTTTCCAAAATGCCCTTTATCCATTGTGAGAAACTGCCAAGAGTTGGTAAAGCGTAAAATAATGCCATTCCCAATCATATATTTTTTAACCATTATGAATCCTCAGCATTTAAAGCTTTTGTGAGATTTAACCAGATGTTTCAATAAAAGGTTTTCTAAAATCATCTAAAACGTTCATTACAAGAGTAATGAAAGATAATATTGCTAATCTTAAGTGAACTTTACACAGAAAAACACCGGTACTTCTCTAAAGTTATAAAGCAATTTGTACATTAGTTTATTTAGAAGCCTGGCTTAACAACTACAAGAATAATTCTCCAACGTCAAACTCCTTAAACTAAAAATCCAATATCATTGTACCGTGCATCTGGCTTTAAAAATCACATTGTAAACACGCATACCTGGCTTTTAGTGAGAAAAATAAACGCACATTATGAAATTATTAGCTTCAAAAAGAAATATGTTTGACATCGTGAACGAAGTTAGTTTTAATGGAACGACTTTAAGACACTTCGTTATTCCTTTTATTTTGAAAATTCATATGAATAATCACCAATTGATGGGAACAATGAAAAACTTTTAGGCCGTAGACCGAGGTATTGTTTAATGGTTTATAGAGAGAGTGGTAACTGCTAACACACATTTTACTTCGTATATGTTAACTGTCTGAATCTTTTTTTATATTTTCAGGATTGCAACTGATCAGTCTTTTTCGGCGTATATGAATCTTGTGCGGATTGCCCTGATACTGTAATTAAGTCTGTCCTTGCTTGAAACAAATTTTACTTGTCTCTTTAATTCATAAAGGATACCTCGTCCATGCTGAAACCAGCTTAAAGACACAAACACATTTTGTGTCTCACTTTTATTGATTATTTTGAATAAATATTCTTAGACCTCCTTTTATACGTTTCTGCATTCCAGATGGTTTGGACATAGTTCAGCGTTTAGTTTCGACTATTTCGCTGCTTATTTGAATCCTATCTAATTAATACGGTAAGCATAGACACGTTTAATTGTTTTATCTGTTGAGGAAAGTAATATTTGTGAACTAATAAAAATGCAAGACTTCCAGTTTGAAAAATATTTTTCCAACCATATAATGCAGTTTGCTTACAAATGATTTATGAAACAACATAGCAGACTTAGGAAAACTTTATCCAGTATCAGTTCATTAAATATGTGCAGGTTATTCAAGTGACTTACAGTAATAAGGTAGACTGGTGTTAACATGCATTCTGAAGCCTATTTGTTTAAGCACGTCTTGTGCAAGTCAGTAACCCTATGTTAATGTATTTTTCACCGTCTAGGGAAACGAAACAACATGACTTAAGATTTACTAAAAATGGTGGTTTTATATGTTTAATATCACTATACTCATCACAATGTTTAAAAATCGACCATCTTTTAAATACTCATCTCAATAAGTGTTCTGATATTCCACGTTAACCAATGAAGAAAATCGCCCAACAATCTTTTTCAATAGATCTTTTATCATGTATATAAAAGAGAACCAAAGTTGCTCCATTATCAAAATGAGTGTCTGATGAAACGATGGCGAATTTTGACCCGTAAAAAATTATTGAAGTCATTAAAAAACTACAATCATTCATACTTGGATCTCAGTGGGGGATTATAATGATCCAAATCGATCTGGTTAAACTTCTAAACGAGTAATAAGAATTTTGTAGTTATGTTACATCAAAGTAGGTTGCGACAGTTAAGAAAAAGATGAAAGATATAGTTAATGCCGATTTCTAAGCTAAATGTAAAGTTCGACTTTGTTTCTAGACCTATGCTACTAAAACTTAAGTCAGCTGGAACACCAGGATAAAATAACGATATGACAGAGTTTTAATACTTTGAAAATGCATGGCTAATCTTATATATAGAAAGATGTTCTGTCACTTACGTACCAGGGTTATTATGGCTAAAGAGTTTGTCGTATCCTTGCTTTATTCTCTTAAAAATCACATTTTCTTCTACTAATGTTACTTTCCTCAATTATTTAGATATTACCGGTTCATGAAACATCGTTTATCTCTTCTGGCTGGGTTGAAATTATTGAGCTTCTAGTGTACGCTGAATGATCTTACACTCGATGATTTTAATCTTCAAACCACCACTTTTAGCTTGAGAAGCAGAACAGATCCCATCACAACATCAAGATTTTATGAGGTGCACACTGCTGACAATATTACTAAAAAGCTATATCGAATAATACCTTTCTTGATATATATTTCTATCCCAATATTGCCTAGTTATCTTATATTTTGTTAATATTAAGGAACGTTTTTCTTTCAATATGCTGTACAAAGACTTGACATGTTCTCAAATTCTTGTGAGCCATCTACTATTCTATATTTTTTTCGTCATTCTTTCCTGAACTTTTGAAAAAGGGAAACGCTAGGTTATTTAGCGTCTTTGAAACTGCTAGTAGCGTTAATAGTGCATATATTGAATATGATACAAAAATAGGTAAAAGTAACAATCTAAAACCTTGTGAATAATTAGCAAAAGTTATTTTATCAAATATAAATCATATGACTTATAATTTCTCCTTTTTTGTTAAAATAACATGTCCACGTCCATGCAAAGAAGCACAGATCTCTGAAACTTTTCTACTTGTCAATCATTTTGAGTTCCAGGATATACAACTGTTAATAGTTCCTAAAAATATTTTTAAAATATTTTTGGTTCCTCCTGTTCTGAGATTTAAATAATTAAAAAGAGAGGGTTAAAAGCATTTCCCATAGAGAATCTTTTACCAGAGCACAATATTAAATTGGGTTATTTTTACTGTATAGTGAAGAATGTTTTGAAGAAAGTACAATCTTTCCTATTTTTTCTATCTAAAAGCTTATACGTTTTATAAAAAAACAGATGTATTATCAGTGAACCAAGCTTTTACAAAATAATTGTATTTGCAATCTAATTCATTTTTTTATTGCAAGTTTCCCTTCAGAAGGCTACTATGATGGTTTCTTTTGCATTGGGTAATTATATCGTTTGACTTGAATTACTAAACTAAAATCATGTAAACAGCTTTTTAATTAACTTCGATATTCCATCATATTGATAGTATTGCCAGCCATGTTATTCATCACACCTGCTGCAGGCTTGCTCTAATTATTTACACGCGACTATTGATAGCGAGTATCGTGTACCATCATAGTATGGAGTGCTATTTTGCGTTCATGTAACATCAACTACTCTGAACGTCATCTCATTCATCAGTGACTGTTACTACCTTCATGCGCACACAAAGATTTACTTGTTTTCAAAAGCTGCCTCGTTTGTAGCTATTTAGACACATTCTGTACATGTTTTATGGTTTCCATACCATATATTGCTGTCAACACTATTATTTGCTCTAAATAAATCTGCTAAAGATGTCTTCTAAAATTAAAAAATAAAAATAAAAATTCCTACGTTTTTACAATTTTAAAATCAGCATATGTGATCGCGTAATAATGCCCTAACATAACAACCGAAGCTTATGACTAGAAAAACTGGCAAATTTAAAATTATTCTGAAACAAATTTGGCGGTTTCCATATCAGATTGAAATAGTATTCATATAGGATGTAAGCAAATATTAAACTGAATACAATGCGAGAAAAACTAACCATAAACTTCACACTGTTTAACCCAAAAGGTTATGCTAGGTACTATACATTAACTAACCAGTGTATAATAAAGTAACAGTTTTTTATTCTAAAAGGCACTTTTGTCTAAACCTCCACTCTAAAGCAACCATGCCCTAACAATGCAAATAACTGTACATTACTTTGAAAATCGATATTGCCTGTTAGTTGGCGGTTGCAACGAATCATTTTACATAGTATTAATTAATGTTTCATGCTAACTACCACAAATGAATCCAAAACAAAAGTTTTTCAAACCACCACTTAGTAATGACACATTAAAATATAGAGGATGTTTGCGTTTATCATATTTTTATGCATGACAGATAAGAATAAAAATAAGTCACTGAGTATCTTAGATCTCCGTGGTATTTCCGCAGCATTGTTACTAAAATTGGCAAGCGTTTTGGGCAGTCTTTCGGAAAAAGTACTTCTTTAGGTATTGGGTTGAAGTACTTAACATTCCAAAATAATTTGACATGGAAATCTTTATTTAATTTTTTATGCGCGGCCTAGAGGTTTCATTTGTTTTATCACAGTTTCAGGAAACTTTCATCATTTAATCTGATCGAAACTAGAATAATTTCTTTCATTTTAAAGTGCGTTGTTTATAATGTATGATTTTTTAATATCCCTTGATATAGTGACGTTAAATGAGATGACAGAAGAAGTAATAGTTTGATGCTATGAATATACAAATACAATTATCATGTCTGACTGTTGTAGCATCACAATATCTGGTACATGTCATCGCCAGGGTCATAAACTAAACACTTATAATTCTGCATGATCTATGATCAGCCAAATTCAGTGTTACATTAAAAAGAAATGGCAAACTATTATCGTTATTGAGGCGCTCGGTTTTGTGCTAAAACAACGGAAGACGTTTTAGAAAGATGTAAGGGAACGCTGAAAAGCACCTTCCCTTGTATTCTTGAGAAAAATAAAATATTAAAACACATTTTATACTATGTAAATAATGGTGGGTGTTTGAAGATTTTGATGGATTAAATCTCTCTAAATTTTTGAGTAGCAACAACAATATGAATAGGTCATGAATCACATTAAAATCACATATGTGATATTTAGGAAACAAGTAAATAATTCACGAACCTGGCTGAAATCTCAAAATGCTTTGTTCCCCAGTGAGTGTTGGAACTGTTTTACTGACGTATCCATACAGAAAAACTGATAGCATACCGACGAAGAATAAAGCCAAGAATGTGTATGCCACGACGTAAAATATGAAAATCAAAACTAAAGTATTTTATAGTACAAAGACCGAACACAAACCCCATTCTCTGCAAGTCCTCCCTAAAATTTCATGTTTTTCTGGATTATAGAGAGTCCTTTTAAACCTGGTGAAACGACTCTGTTGAACAGCTTTCTTCATTTTGTATGACGACAAGCTAATGCTGTCTTCAAATTACCGCTACAACAGTTAAGGTATTGGATAGTAGCTTAACTGTGACTGGTAAAAACAAATGACCTAACAAAGAAGACTTAAGTAAAATAGACATCATTGATAAAAACATGTAGTGTATACTCAGAGTATCTTTGTTCGACTGTATAATAAAAGCAGTCTTCTGTCAGTAAACGGTCGAAAAAAAGAATTCAATTTTTAGTTTCAGGCGCTCACAGAATGTCCACGGACGTATATTAAATTATCCGTGTAAAAAAATTTCAGCAATTGATTCTTAGAATATTTAAATAATCTTAACAGTGACAGCTATATGGTAGGAATATTCAATCAACAGATGAATATCAGGGTTAGTGTGATTTGATAAGCTTTTGAAAATCTTGAAATGAAGACCACATCAGCTAATCTGTAATCGAGCGAAATTCTTCTTATTCTCCCTATTTCTGTGCACTCCATGATCTAAGTCCAACAACTGTCACATTGAACACCTGCGTGGGTTGTGTAGCAGTCAATAAATCCCTAAGGTAAATAGTTCTGTAAGGCTTCAACACGATGCTGACCTTGTTAGTTTTGCTGTACTCACCCGGAAGTGAGCTTCCTGTCATGCGTCTCCACCGGATCACGAGTGATTATGCCATGCTAGGCATCTCCTACAACCGCTAGCTAGCTCAGTCCAAACTCTTCTCGAGATACGGATGGCCTTTCAAATATAACTTCGAAACTTTTCACCTATGGCTTCTGATTTCGCTGGGTTGGCATCATTGGATTATAAAAGTGTTACTGATAAAGGTATGGTCAAACTTTGAATACTTGTGGCAACTTTACTTGCAACTGGAATACTTACAAGAATACCCGAAAAATATAAAACAATGAAGAAAGCTTTATACTTTTTATAAACGTCAATGCATATCCGTACTTAGTATTTGAGTGAGTAACACGTTTGGATTTAAGGCTATATGTGGTACATTTGAATTTAAATACGTACATGAACGTTGTCCGACCGAATGATAGTACTGAATCAGTCCACTGGGCACCAAATGTAGACCGGTTAGTTCCGCTCTTTGATGTCTACAATAGAAATTTACAAGCTATTGCAAAACAACTGGTACACAATTTTATCTCGCCGAAAATCTCACTTTATACACTACTTATCAGTGATGTGGCTACCAACATGTGTTTATAAGATGAAATCCTCGGTTGAGACGCAGTTTCAGAACACGTTGAAAACTGACATCCCTCCAAGCCTGGATCGATGAATATCGCAATTGAAGCTAAAGTAAATGAATAACCACGGAATTATTTGTAAATTCAGATACACACTGTTAAGAAGAATAGTATCCGTTGCATAACTGTGGAAGTGACATTTTAATATGGTTTTGTAACAGCACAGGTTGATTGGTTAAGTGTTTACCTCAAACAACCAAGCATATATCAAAACAGTAGAGTTCAAGTATTCATTCACTTCCTTATTTTGTATAGGCATTATATTCCCTATTACCTTATATTGAATGTTGAAAGACCTTTGTCTACTGTGACTGCTTACTTTAGTTACTGACGCCTGTTACTCCTCGTGAAGGAGCATAGGCCGCTCACCAGCATTCTCCATCCAACCCTGTCCTGGGCAATCCCTTCCAGCTCCTTCCAGTTGTAATTCATCCTTTTCATATCTGCTTCTATTATCCGACGTAATTTGTTCTTTGGCCTTCCTCTTTTCCGCTTCCCTTCAGGATTCCAAGGTACGGCTTGCTTGGTGATGCAGTTTGATGATTTGCGTGATGTATGTCCTATCCATTTCCATTGTCTTTTCCTAATTTCTTCGTCAGCTGTAAGCTGGTTAGTTCTCTCCCACGAAAGGCTGTTGCCGATGGTATCCGGCCAATGGATGTTGAGTATCTTGCGAAGACAGCTATTTATAAATACTTGTACCTTCTTGATTGTGGTTGTTGTAGTTCTCCAAGTTTAAGCTACGTACAGTAGAACTGCCTTGACGTTCGTATTGAAGATTCTCACTTTGATATTGGTTGAAAGTTGTTTTGAGTTCCATATGTTCTTCAATTGTAGGAATGCGACCCTTGCTTTGCTAATCCCTGCCTTTACGTCTGCATCTGAGCCTTCTTGTTCATCGATGATGCTTCCCAGATATATGAAGGATTCCACATCTTCCAGAGTTTCGCCATCAAGAGTGATTGGATTGTTGTTCTCCGCTTTGAATTTGAGGACCTTAGTTTTCCCTTTTTGTATGCTGAGGCCTACTGATGCAGAGACTGCTGCTACACTGGCTGTCTTCATCTGCATCTGTTCGTGTGTATGCGATAGGAGGGCTAGGTCATCTGCGAAGTCCAAATTGTCTAATTGATTCTGAGCTGTTCCATTGTATTCCGTGTTTTCCTTCAGATGTTGAGGTCTTCATAATCCAGTCGACCACCAGAAGAAAGAGGAAGGGAGAGAGTAAACAGTCTTGTCTGACTCCGGTCCTTACTTGGAATGCATCCGTCAGCTGTCCTCCATGCACTACTTTGCACTGTAGTCCGTCGTATGAGTTCCGGATAATATTGACAATCTTCTCATAAACTCCTTAGTGTCGAAGAAGTTTCCATAACGTCCTCCTATCTACACTGTCAAATGTTTTTTTATAATCAATGAAGTTGATGTACAGTGACGAGTTCCACTCAACTGATTGTTCGACGATGATCCGTAGTGTTGCAATTTGGTCTGTGCACGATCGATCCTTACGAAATCCAGCTTGTTGATCTCGAAGTTAGGCGTCTACTGCATCTTTCATCCAGTTCAGCAAAACTCTGTTAAAGACCTTGCCGGATATTGACAGTAGTGTAATGCGTCTGTAGTTTTCACATTTGCTCAGATCTCCTTTCTTTGGAATCTTGACGAGTCGCCCTTCTTTCTAGTCCATCGGCAATTGTTCATCCTCTCAAATCTTTTTGAATAGAATGTGAAGCGTGTTTGTAGTTACTTCGATGTCTGATTTCAGTGCTTCAGCTGATATGTTGTCGGGTCCCACTGCTTTCCCGGTCTTGATTTGTCTGACGGCCATTCTAATTTCTTCCGTAGTTGGTGGATTGACATCTATAGGAAGTTCTATGTGTGCTGCTTCGATGTTCGGTGGATTCATTGGAGCCGGTCTATTCAGGAGCTCTTCGAAGTATTCTACCCATCTGTTACGCTGTTGTTGAATTTCAGTGATCGGCTTGCCTTCTTTGTATTTGACCAGTCTCTCTGGTTTACTGTATTTCCCTGATAGTTTCTTCGTTGTATCGTAAAGCTGATTCATATTTCCTTCTCTAGCAGCTTTTTCTGCCGTCGTTGCTAGTTCTTCCACGTATTTCTTCTTGTCGGCTCTAATGCTCCTCTTCACTTGTTTGTTTGCTTCTGTGTATTCAGCTTGTGCTTGGACTTTCTCTGCTCGTGTTCGGCTGTTGTTTATTGCTGCCTTCTTGTTCTTCCTTTCTTTGATCTTGTCTAGTGTTTCTGTAGAGATCCACTCCTTATGATGGTGTTTCTTTAGGCCCATAACCTCTTGACACGTTGAAGTTAATGCTTCCTTGATGCCTTTCCAGTTGTCCTCCATAGTAGTTTCTTCTTCCTTCAGTTGATCTTGTAAGGCTTGGAACCTGTTGTTGAGAGCTAGCTCGAATTCATTGAGTATTATCGGTATCTCGAAAGAAGGGCTTATTGAATATTTGTATTGCTGATTGTCCACCTGTCCAGTTCCTTTTTAGCTTCAGTTTTAAATTGGCTACAACTAGGTGGTGATCTGAAGCTACGTCAGCACCTCTTCTGGTTCTCACATCTTCCATTGTTCTTCGGAATTTTTTGTTGATGCAAATATGATCTATCTGTGACTGAGCGAAGATCTAAATAAAGACTTATTCAATACTAGCCTGGTTTCTTCTGTCAATAGCACAAGGGTTACCTAAAAGCAAGAAACTACTAAGCCCTGTGAATTACAAATTTGATTCCATTTCTTACTATTAAATTTATTTTTTTCACGTAGTCGTGAAAGTAGACTTTCTGATTATTCGTAACAAAAGTTTGATGCATATATATATATATATATATGCATAGTGTATTATTTATCTAAAGATATTTGTGTTGTGATAACCATTTTCCATGCTAATTTTATTACTATATTGGTCCTAATCGTCACATCAGACTCAATACAAACTAAAAGCTTGAAGGATTTGTTACCAGGGGAGATGGACACTGCTTTCAGGTTTTCCATGGTGGTCTAGCTTCAAATGACTCATGATCACATCTGTTGAAATTACTGTAAGATCCATTTTGAATGTCGTTTGTGTGAAAATCCTTCCATGTATACACTTGCAGTTTGTTTCTACTGATTCCTTTAGTTGTACATTTTGTCGGTCTTTTTGATTCCATTTGAATTGGTAGTTTTTGTATTTTATCATAGTTTTTATTCTCTTACGCCTTCACTAAGTTTCCAAGTTTACACCTGAACTGCATTTATGTCGTTTTACTTGATACTTAGTCTTGGGGGCAGCCATATTGGTTTGTTCCTCCTTTTGATTGTGTTACTTGTATTGACTGGAATTGTGCATTTTTGATTGTGAATTGTAGCACTCTTCCAGAATTGGAAACACTTTAAGTCACAAATCAACCAAATATTATCTTTTGAACGAATCTGTGCGCGGTCTATCCAGATAGGATAGAACAGCATTTGTTTGTTGCGATTGGTAATTTTCTGTCATCCTTTGTCAACTTCCTTATTTATTGTAATTTAGATTTGAATAACTGAACAATTATTGGTTGGACAGCTGAGTGATCATATTTGTTTAGGTAACAATGTACATTTAAATTTATGATGAATTTTAGAACCATCATTTTACCCAATTACTTTGTTTTGGTTTCAACCGAGCAAGGGCGCGTACGTAACCCACCTAGACAGCAATTCTTCAGTCCAAACCTTAGTTTGGATCTTACAGACACTGTTATGA